CATATACATACATATAAAGGTAAATTTAATTTTAAACTACAGATGTAACTTGATTCAGTGACTGTCTAAACTGCTCACTTTATGTGGTATTTTTGAATTTAACAGAACTTTAACAAGATAAGAAGATTGGGTATTTTGAGTGTTTTTTTTTTGTTTTGTTTTCATTTAGTGTCTACTTAAACTAAATGCATTGTTTACAACCTCTACAGCCAACCAAATATCTTTTGAATTCAAAACTTAAAAAATGTAAAAGTTTTTTTTCTGCTTGGTGAATTTTAAAGTGATCTGAGTTTCATTTGTTTTGATCAGTGCCACATCAGAACTGTTGCCCACCCACCTGTGGATGCTGACAGGGAGACAGGTCTGCTCCTCCTGTGTCCTCTCTCGGCGGTCAGACTGAAGCTGTAGCTCATTCCAGGAGTCAGATTGGACAGGCTGTGTGTGGTTTCTGTGACTGGGATCTCCACCTCCTCAACCTGGCCATCTCTGGAGACGTACACCAGCCTGTACCGACCAACTTTAGCCTGAGGTTTTTGCCACCTTAAAGTGAGAGACGTCTCAGTGGATTTTATTTCTTCAAAACCTCTGGGGGGATCCAGGTCTGACAGAAGACACATAAAGCTGGTTAAATCTCAAAAACAGATATTTTCTCACAGTATAAATTAGAACTAGTGCTCCCAGTTGTTCTCAAAACAATAATATAAATTACTTTTCCTTGCATTAGTTTCATTTCATCACTCAATTTGTCACAACATGACCTCGTGACACAGTGAAAAACAGCTGTTTGGACAGCTGCTCAGCTGCTCACCAGTTGCTGCATTTGTTGTAGCAGGGAGGCTCTCTCTTTCATTCTTCACAGCTGTCACTCCAATCCCATACTCCGTCCCTGGTCTCAAACCTGGATACAAAGAGATGGAGGATAAAATACTGTACATGATGGTAAATGGCTTCAACTTAGATAGTGCTTTATCAATACCCTAAGAACACCAAAGCACTTTACACTTCAATAAATCAGTCGTGCAAATCTCCCATCATTAATACAAGATTGTGGTGAAAAATAAACACAACTCTGGTCAGAAAAAAATGTGATATAGCCGAAGCTTGTGGAAACAATGCTGCAGTGAATGTGTGTTGCAATTGAAGCTAAAGGTGATACAACTAAATATTAGTGTGTGACCTTATATTTAGCTGGCCAGTGTAAAAATTATTATTATTATTATTATTATTATTATTGTTGTTGTTGTTGTTGTTGTTGTTGTTGTTGTTGTTGTTGTTGTTGTTGTTG